ACACACACACATCCATACATGTATACATCACTTCAGGGGATATTACATTGACTTACATGCATTTCCTGGAGACTTATCCTAACCTTAACCAACACATGCCTAACCCTTACCCTAACCCTAAACCTAACCAAGTCTTCACCCTAAAAGTAATGATTTCCCTTATGGGGACCTCCAATTTGTCCCCATAAGGGAGGCGAGTCCCCACACGTGACTGTGTAAACAGATTTAGGTCCTCACAAGTATAGTAATACTAGGCCACACACACACACACACACACACACACAATGCAGTTGTCTCCTCTGATGTGTGTGTAACAGAGTATTTCAGCGGATGTTCATGGATAATTTTTACTGAATTGATCTGATTAATAAGTGGGTTTTGTCTTTCTGTCTTTATTCCATACATGTTGTGTAATCAGTGTACATTTCAACTGATTTTTAGGCCCTGAAACTTTGCAAAGCTGTGATATCAACTTCCATAATTTCTTTTATATCCATGTCTCTTCTTCCTACATCGTGTTAAGCACCATGATGGCTCATTTCAGCGAATCCTGCTAGAAATATAAAAAGACCATTGGTGCATAAATAGCAGCACAGAGAGGAATCCTCGTGTGTACCTGCCCCTCGAGTGGTTTTCAGCGGGTTAAAAGAGGCCCTTTGGGACGAGCTGAGCATTATGGAGTGGCAAGTAGACAAGTTAATTTTGGAGCATCAACACAAGCAGGAAGTGTGACAGTATGTGTTTGGAGCATCCCTGCTGAACACAAGAGGGAACTGCAGCACTTATTTGTCTTTGAGATGATTACAAGTTCTATCTCACACAGGCTCCGCCCTCTATTGGACTCTATGGGTACTACCAGGGGTTAAATTGGGATTTGATATGTGGGGGGGCTCTGTGTGGAGGTGCGAGGGGGGTTCTCGAGGATCTCATTAATTGACCTTAAGGGCTATACTGTATAAGAGGCCCTAAAGCAACTGCTCCATTATCTGTATCAAATGCACACATTGATGCCATCAAAGGACACAATAAAAATAGAAAGTATTACATATAAACTAGAATTAATTTACATCTTGAATTATTAATATGTACACAAAAAAATGTTTACAAATATCCAACCTTCAAATTGCTTTTTTAAATCAACACTGCTCTGCACACTTGCTAAAGAATGTTTGTGTGGAAATCTCAGTTCATTTGTAGGCTGCGCAAGTATGGCCAAAAGTATGTGAGTAAATCTCACTGTAAACTATTTAATCATCACCAAATTCTATGATATTATGACCTCAGCTTTATGCACACACATACATTTTGCATGGTTTAAGAAACGGCTCTGTGTTACAGGACGGGTCGGGGGTGGTTGGCGGAACCGCTGCAGATTCTCTGCACGGTCCGGCGGCTGGTGCTGCAGCTCCTGATTGGAGCAGAGACACACGTTCACTAAGCTGAAAAACTATATTCAGTCACAGAGATCTGCTATTTTAAAGTAAAGTTAACACATATCGAACCTTAAATATAGTCTATATTAAGAACGAAAAAAGTTTTAACATATAGTTTTTTGTACAAATGTGCAAGGGTGATGACGTCAGAGCATCGTCCTATGTGCCAGGGCTGAGCCCCGGACAAATGTAACCCCTGGATACTACTCTTCATCAATGATACGCGTTCACACACTGAATTTGCATAATCGTAGCCGGCCAATCAGGGCGAGCCTACCTGAATGTGCGCGCAGGCCTCACAGTATATAAGGCAGCTACACTTCCTGCAAAAAAGTTACACATGTTAAACAATTACAGGAACTGGTGCAGCCGGGCGATTGGTTCATAACCATCGACCTGAAGGACTCTTACTTTCATGTCGAAATTGCTCCCAAACACAGGTAGTGTTTGCGTGTTGCCTTCCAGGGGATAGCCTGTGAGTACAATAGACTACCGTTTGGGTTTAGACTCTCTGTCCCCACGCACGTTCAGTGTACGCCAACATACATACATCAACCTTCTCGGGCTACAGGCAGTAGTACTGGTCCTACAGCACTTCAAACCCTTACTACAGGGAAAACATGTGCTGGTGAGGAGCAATAACCGCACCACAGTGGCTTACATCAACAGGCAGGGAGGAGTCAGCTCTGACGCCTTGTTGAGCGCAGCGGAGAGGCTGTGGTTATGGGCCTCAGAGAATGTTTTTATCTCTAAAGGCCCTCCACATTCCGGGACTGGAGAACAGGGAGGCCGGCCTCATGTCAAGAGGCGGGGCCCCTGCCAGACGAATGGTGGTTCTCCCTGGCTCGGCAGGACAATCCACCCTTGGGGGTGGACACGTTTGCACACGAGCCATGGCCAAGAAAGCTGTTCTACGCCTTTCCACCGCTGCGTCTCATTCCCCCACTCCTGGAGAGGGGAGACGAGAACAGTTGTCGGTCATTCTGGTAGCCCCAGGTCGCTGCTCGGCACCGTGGTACACAGAAGTGACACAGATGATGGTGGGCCAGCCCTGGACAGTTGCTGTCTCAGGAAGCGGGTGCAATAGGGGCGGGTGCAATAGGGGCGTTACCCAATCTGGGCCAACCTCTCCAGGCTTGACTCCTGAGAGGGACAGGCTGAGAAGGGGTGGACTGTCTGACAATGTTATACAGACTATCCAGGCAACAAGGGCGTGATCCACCACAGCCTGTTACAGGACGGAGTGGTTTGGATTCCAACGTTGGTGCGAGGAAGAGAGTCTAAAGCCTCTGTCTGGTACATTGGGCTCTATTCTATCCTATTTACATGCTCTACGCCTTTCCACCGCTGCGTGTCATTCCCCCACTCCTGGAGGGTGTGAGACGAGAACAGTTGTCGCTCATTCTGAATCATCTTCATTCCAGTGTGTAAGGAAGCTTTTTTCTCACTTTGTTTTTTAGAGAGTAAATCACAATGTAAAATCAGCCTGAAGTGCAGTCAGAGTAAGCACTGCAGACAGATGTGCATATGTCCCCTGTGTCTCTGCTGGGTGAATAATGTGTCTCTGTAAATGACTATTTAATAGTGTGTTATCCTATAAAGCATCATCGCTGATGGCACCCCGAGTGTGTGTGACTAAGTACAAGTGGTTGGAGTCTGGCCGGGACAAAAGTTGACTGACGGAAACTTCACGAAGAGAAAAAAGTGTTTCACGTATTGAAATAAAAATGAAATAGTTGGATCATTCTTCTGACAAATAAGTTTTCTCATGCAATCAAGCGTGTGAGCCAGGAAGTCTTTGTGTTTCCCTGCAGGGGGACTCTGCCGGTGTATCGCCACACTGAGTTAAAAATCTATTAAATAGTAAAGGTTTATTTTTCAAGGGGAAATCTAAAATGTATGATTCACTGAAAACAGATTCTTGCCCATTTTTGCTGCTCAGCCTATGATGTTTACTGACTGGAGGTCATATTTTACAATGGAGAAATAAAGAAGTATGAAAAGTGATGCATAGAAGGAAATTGTCAGCCATCTTTTTAGAGGGCAACAGCATTGGATAGAGACACTTGTAAAAAAGGGAACATTACTTATTGCTGACACTTATACCTCTACAATAACAGACAGTATATACTCTAAAAGAGGATATGGATTAGAATGAATTGTATCGCTAACAGATAACTATCATTATGTAGGTTCATGTAAAGTGACACTGCAAAAACACTACAAGTGGTCATTTTAATGTGAGCTGGAAAATGTGGTTAATTTTGTTCTCCAATATTTACGAAAAAAAAGTATAACAAGCATCAAACAAACATTTTTAAGTAAAGTATCTTAACATTCTACTTCAGTTATATGTGGGCTCCTTAGGTATCTACAGCACGTAGGCTGTAAATGGACGCAAAATGTCACGATATATGGACTATTCTCAGAGGAAACATCATTAATGGCCTCCTAAAGTTTTATCTTCAATCACAAAGTCAGCGTTTGCCTGGGGTTGGAAAATCCAGCCTCTATATTTCCTCTGTTGGATCGAAAATACCTCTTTTGCAGTAGCTTGGTCATGGGTTGGTAATGATACAGGCTTCATTTAGACCATATCTGGAAAATTCCCTATAACTCATAATCAAATAATGAACTTGAGCCTGTTTTTGGTTGTGTGTGTGCTGGTGATCAGGTGTTACCAAAAGAAGATGAGATGCAACACACACACGGTTAATAACAGCGATCTGATTACACCTTCCAAGATGCTCCAGACCTTTGGATTTGGCTCTGTTCTATTAGAGCTCAGTTAATGGGTGGCTGAGGAAAGGAATGGCCGCCTAAGTGAATGGATGTGTAATTATGAAATGGGTGATACACTCAATGTAATTAGCTTGTTTATGTGCGGTACAATGGATATAGGCAGACGTTAGGGCCCTGCAGTGGCCGACGAGTACAGAGAGAGAGAGGAGGAGTGAGGGATGAATGAGTGTGAGAGAGAGAGAGAGAGCAAAGTCCTTATTCAGGCCTTTTCTGCTCACCCGTCACATCAAGGCTCCAAATCAATCCTGCAAATTGGTTTGTTCCTTCAACAAGGTTACCAAATGATGAAAGGATGGGGGGAATGAAGTGCAGAATATGAGAGAGGGGGAATATGTGAGGGCTGTAACGAGAGGGAGATAGAGGGATGAGGGTGGGGGATGTCCCGGTGTTGACGTATCGTCTAATGCAGAGCTTTCTGTGTGTGTGTGTGTGTGTGTGTGCTGAAGGCCGACAGTTTACTACAGAGGGGGGTGAAGGATCCCGTGATTGTTTGTTACATGTAAACCGAATCGGCTGAGTTATGACATCCCGGCTCACACACCGCCCTGGTCATGTGGCAAATAGGTGTGTGTGTGTGTTGTTGATGCAACCACAGACGCTCCTGTAACTCTGTCACGATGAAATGCGGGGCCCCTTTCCCCTCATTCCCAGCTGAGTTCAGTGGAATTGCAGAGTAAATATATAAATAATAGAAGCGATAAAAAATGCCAGATGTTTTTTTTTTTCTCTGACCTGAAGCTTTTGTTTTCTGTGTGTGTCTTTCAGGAAAAGTTCACGCCGGAGTGTAAGTTTAAGGAGAGTGTGTTTGAGAACTACTACGTCACCTACTCATCCATCCTGTACAGACAGACCCAGTCAGGACGGGCGTGGTACATCGGCATCAACCGAGATGGACAGGTCATGAAAGGGAACCGTGTCAAGAAGACAAAGGGGGCTGCGCACTTCCTGCCTAAACTCATTGAAGGTACAACAGATTCATATAACTTACAATACTCTTAATGCTCTTATGTTGCCACAAGAGATGGACTGGTCAAACAAAATGAATTTTGGCAAATTTGGAGAAGCAAGGCTGACTAGTGGATTCAAAATAAAAATAAATTGAAAAGTAAGGGGATGCCAATGAAGGGGGTTTCTAAAAACCTTCTACTTCGAGGTAGTGAAAAGTTGTTTTTTCACCCCAGCTATGTTTCAGAATGCTCAAAATCAGCCTTAATCAGAAAAGTTCAAACAGCAGCAGAGTTTCTGGGTGAATTATCTGCAACATTTTGGCATTACATTTCAATGGCCTGTAATGTAAATTCCCTAGCTGAGCTCCCCTCTTTGGTATTTTTCCTGTTGTAACGGGGTCAGATCCTGGTGCTATCTACTAGTGCAGGACCTCTGGCCTTTCCAACTGGAAATAATATTGATTCTGTTAAATGCTATAACTCTTTATAAATAACACAACTTTGGTTTAAGCTTGAATATTTGTTATGTGTGGAATTTCCACCACAAGGGAAATGCACCAAGCTGCTCTCAATTCTTGATTAGGAGCCATCTCCACAACCTGTGCAATAGGTGATCTGAATTACCATCCAATATACTCAGGGGAATTGTTCAATTTAGCTAAAATAATTGTTAAAAGTCACATCAAGTACCAAAGAATGCACTGCCACTTTATGCAAAGCTATTTGATGTGATTGCTCATTTAAATATTAAATTGATATTTCAAATAAAAGTTTGGAAATCTATTTAGTTTTAGGTTCTCTGCCCTTTACTATTTTCCCCCCACTCCCTCTGTATCTATATGAAGCATGACCTTTTATATATAAGGTCATGTAAAGTGTCAAACAACAATGTACAACTGAAGATGAATAGCCTTTGACCGACTTCCGGTTTCCTTGTATCAAAGTCTTTTTTTTTAGAACGGGTTTGATGTTAGATACCTGAATTAAGGTTTGGCTTTTTTTTTACATTTTGTTCCATGACATAAAATAATAATAATAATAATAATAATAACTTGAATTTATATAGCGCCTTTCATAACCTCAAGGTCGAATGTAAAAATCCATCAGTTATCACCCCTACCTTGCATGCCTGAAGCTTCTATGTGTTGTGAAATGGCGGATGCAAACAAGCAACTACTTAAATCTACTAAACATCACAACGCCAACATTAGCCGCCTTTATCTTAGCAGTGGTGTCATTTGACCAGGATGTAGTTCATTTATAGCCTAACAATAGCTTTTCACTTCTGGCAATTCAATTTGTGCCACAAAATCATAAAGTGCTGTTATATGTGAAGAAAACATGCAAGCATCATAAACGTTTGTTTATTCCGAAGTCAAATGGAAAAATGATATTGCTTTTTGTTGAGGGAGCTCTTGAGATGCTAATTTCCTGGTCCACCTACAAAAATATTATGCACCAAAACACAAAGTGAAGTCTTTCATTTATACTTTCACTTGTCTCTTCCCAGTTTTAACTAATTCAACCCTCTCCCTCCACAGTGGCCATGTACCGGGAGCCCTCTCTACACGACGTTGTGGAGCAGAGTCCGCCCAGGAAAACGCAGAAGACCTCCAGTGACTCGCCAGTGCTCCAGAACGGCAAGAAGGACCCTAAATCCAAAACCAAAACCTCCACCTCCTAGCGCTTAAAGACAAGGTGGGAGGAGGGGTGGAGGACACGGGGCACTTGGCACCAGCGGACACCTGAACAGGGTTGTTAGGGCTACGCCCAATGTGCAACACTGACCCAACATGAACTCTACGTACCCACAATGCACTGGTGTAAAGTTGGAGAAACAAGTGGCAAATGGGGAGCCCCTTTTACATTCACAGACCCCCCCACCCACCAACACCAGCCCTCCACCTTCTTATTATCAAAGCCTGGGATATAAAAGCAATAACTCCACGAAGAGGTGAACATCATCATATAGCATGTCACCACTGCGTGTTAAACTTAAATCCCACACCGCCATCATCAGCAACATGCTTCGAGTCAACCAATATTTGAACAAAGTCTTCCTGGTTCTACCACAACGGGTGCAACAGTCAAAACGGTCCCTCAAACTTACTTTGTAAACGGGTTTTCATTTCCCTACAGGGTTCCATGCTAATGTTAGCTTGACGCAGAGCCATGCTAATGCAAGTCTGTCACAGAGACCCTTGCAGACTTTTTGTTCCGCAGCCATCTGCTCAGTCCACTTCTTCCGTGTGTGTCAGCGATCTTTGTGAGATGGGCCCTGATACTTGTCAACCTCATTCTGTTTGTGTGGCTGTGTGTGTGGCTGTGTGTGTGTGTTCCTTTCATCTACCTTTCACCTTTAACGCGATTTGATTAGTTTGTGACATGGACTCAATTTTCCACTCGGCCGCACAAGAAAACCCCTCCCGTCCTCCCTGGCTCTGTTAATGGAGTCTGGGGCTGATCAGAATCTTTTCGACCCTTAAACGAGGGGCCAAGAGCTCCCTCGACACACTGCATAACCAACCACACACACGTATTATTACACTGGCATATACACACATGCAGAAGTGTGCGTATTCTGTACACATCCTGATATACATGAGCAACGACATCAGAAAAATAATCTCACGTTTTAACACTCTTAACACCACAACATGTATTAACACACACATGCTGACTTGGTGGGGGATGTGTGTGCGGGGGTGGGGGGGGCATGATGAGGATATCAGCAGGTTAGTGATGGAGCCTGACTGTGTAGCTTGTGATTGCACTGCGATAGCTTTTCTCGTTGTGGCTGGCCATGCATTGCACATAACCCTTGAGGCCCGAATAGTATCTTGGGATCCTCTATCACTCAATTTGGTATTCTTCCCAAATAAATACAACAATGTTTTTGTTTTCAATTCTTGCATCCAAATTGTGAAATAACATTATGATAAAAAAAAGAAAATGTTGTGTTCAAGTATTTTAAAGGGCCACCCCACCTATGTTGAAGTCACGGAGAGCCTTTTCAAGCCTATGCAAACATTTGTTTAGTGTCTTCTGGGGCTGTATGGGAGCTTTGTCAATTCTGAGAAAATACTAGATTGAGTAATCTAAAGCCATTTTCTCAAATAACCTCCAAACAATGTCTGGAATACCAAGTCAATACAATAGGTAGACATTTCTATTTGCGTCTTTGCTGTCCTCGATAGAAAATTCCTCAACATGCCCACTGGCTTGTCCTTAAGGCTCATTATTATGAGTGGCTCTGTTCATGCTTGGGTTTACATTAATCGAACTGCAAGCAATGGGAATCCACCACCACATTTTTGGTTGGACATTCTGCTCTGTTATGCTAGTCGCGGCTAATGTAACCTCAAGCGACTATAGGCCAAGGAGCTTGGGAAGAAGGTCAAGTAAGGTCTCTTCATATTGACTCAAGATTTGTTTTCACTTTTAAAAAAACTAGTTTTCAACCCCAATTTCCGACACCTCCTTGTGTCCAATCACTTTAGGCAATGTATCAGATTTCACTAAGTTCCTTCAGCAGGTCCAAAATGTATTATTCAACTTTTTACATTTGTAGAAGTTGCCGTTTAAAAATATCATATTAGAAATTAGATAAAAACTAAACCCAAATCAAGCCCAAAGCTTTATGCAATACAGTTTTCCATGTTGGGAAGCAAAACAAAAAAGAAAACGTATGACAAGACCAACACTTTGCTTTATGGGAGTGCACTACTAAATCACCAGTGGCCCTTTAAGCCCTTATTTACACATGAATTAGTCAATCTAAAACCTCCTTGCTGACAAGTAACAACACAATGCTAAACATTAATCACTTGGTCGCTCAGTTTTTTTAATCTGTTTTTGAAATGTTATGATGCAATGGAATTCAAGCCTTCATCACTAGACATTTCAAGTCATACGATTGAATGAATACATTATGATTACTATGACTGTTTTGTTAGGGGGATTTAGGAAACCAAAGTCATATACAAATATTAAAATGGATGGCTGTAGAGGACAGGAAAATATAGTTTCCTGGTAAAGAAACAAACCATTTGAAAAGATATGACAATGCTCGCTCAGGAGACATTGTCTTGAGTCTTTCCATTTGTTCTCTCCATTCAACATGAAAAGCAATACTTTTTCATATCGAATGTGTTGGTGCAATATGCCTGGCAGGGTAATTGTTTCTGCCTAATGTTTATGTATTGAAGGAAAAGAGGGAGTCCTGTGTTTTCAGGAGGCCGGAATAGATTCACGAGAGTGGGTCCAACAAAGGAGAGGAAAAGAGGTTATTAAGTGGACAGTGTTCTCTGGACTCACACATAGTCACACACACATCTTATTTCATGCATAACACTCAGCTCCCCTTTAACCTGCTGTTGTAAATAATGATAGCTGATAACCCGTGCAAGATAGAGGCGAGCTGCTGAGCTAAATAATGTGGGCAAACTTTACCTTTGTTTCTCTAGGTAAAAGGAAACAGAGAGAGTTTACTGAAGGAGAATAAAAGGTTCAAGAGGGAAGACTAACGGAGAATAACTGATTCCACAAACAATCTATAGGAAGGACTTGTTGGGAACAAAGCTATTACTATTATTTTTATTTATTTATTACAACTACTTTTAAAACCTCACTCACTGAAGACCTTAATTAGACTGTTAAATGGACCCTCAGGCTAATGTGTCCGACCAGTGGATCGCTAAATCCAGAGCACGAGTACTATTCACAAAGTAATTACACAAATGTTTAATTAAATGAAACTCCTGCCAACTAGATTGGAAAAAAGACTTAGTGGGACTTCATAGAGGAATACACTTAGATGAGAGGGTAGGAGGAATTCTGCAAAGCCATGACTTCTGTTACAACTTCTATGTTAAGGGCTGGGAAATCTATGTTGCAATATTTTCTTATGTATATGTCATGTTTGCTGTTTTCAGACTTTGTATCAAAAAGAAAATAGCTCTAGAGGAGAGTTAAGGGCTAATATGTTAGTGCAAGCTCATAATGACTGAGGAAATAGTAAATAAATAAGAATATTTGCCAGATAAAGTGTGATAAGCAATGCATCAATCATGCACACAAACCGGCATTTGACTGGAGGTAGGCCTATGGGGTTTAAAATAAGTGAGCATCTACGAGGCACAAAGGTTCTGATAAAAGATAAGTTGCATCATGGGAAATGTAGGCTGCAGCTAGACAAAAAAATGATACAAAAAGACAGGATATCTCAGCCTCTGCTCTTTTTAAATTGGCCTCTGGTGAGTCCCCTCCCCTTATGGAAGTGCATATACTGATTGAGAGCCCCTTAAAACTTCAATGCAGTATTTATTTTTATGTTGATGCATATGCCTACACAGATGCAAAAAAAAATTAAATAGGAATCGAGGTGGTCTACAATCATCTCATTTCCTGCCTCAGACAGTTTTATTTATATCAGCTGGAATATTTCATGATGTGTGTAGACATGGTGATTAAATCCAATCCAATACAAATGATACATTGGCCACTTATAGTTGCATCAGTCATGAGGATCTATTCCCTCTAGAATATGCAGCTAGATTAGCTCTTCTTACATTTGTAATCTCTTTATTTTGCATTAACATCTGTAATGTAATTACTATAATTTATGCAGAGGCTGTAACAGATACTATAGTTTTTAATTAGATGTTGATATCGGAGTATTATTGATATATTTGGGTCTGTAGATGGGGGGTAAAGATTGTAAAAGAGGAGGTATGAAAATCCCATTCCGTTTTGCTGTGATTTCACTTTGCAAAAAGGTAGATAAAAAAGTAATTTATTCCCTGTGTGTGAGTGTGTGTGTGTTTTGCACACTCATTTCTCTGTCTGTTAGTCCCTTGTGAAGCCTGAAATCAGCTTCTCTGTTCACCAGCCTTCAGGCTTCACTTCAAACACCCCTGTGGATAACAGGATGTAAAGATTGCCATTTATCTTGGCAGGCCGTCTAACTGTGCACATGTTTGATTAGTGAACCCCCTCTGTTGCTTAATATACAGCCTTTAACCCACTGATAAATGTCTTTGGTTTCAGCTGTAAATGTTAAATATTGGCCTTTGGGCTCGCTGTTTCTTTTTCTGTGAAAAATTAGTGGGAGAGGTGTGTGTCTGTGGATATATGAGGGGGTTAAAGAAGTATATCTGATTCAGCTGCATGCTTCACACGTCAAACCCTCACACACACATACCCGCACACATACCTCTCTGGGGACTCCATTTTTATAGGGTCAGATCTCTCCCTGCTAGCAGAGCAAATGAAGCGAGGGTCATGCAGGGTTGTGAAAGACACAGAGAGAGGGAGGTGTGTGTCACACTTACTTCAGCTAACTTGTGCCCTCACAGTCTCCTTCTGAAGATTCACTTCCTCTCTGATCCTTTTTGCAAACACAACTTCCCTTTAACCTGGAGGTGTGTGTGTGTGTGTGTTCCCGATCTCACTCATCAGCTGTGGTCTTTGTGTGTAATCGTTTTGTAAACGTGATTAAATATCTCTGTATGTCCAGTATGTGCGAGGGAATAAAGAGAATTGGAAGGGAGGTAGAGGATAAACCAGAGGCCAAATCAATGAGTGTGAGTCCTTGGGCAGAAAGCAATAAACTCCATTAACAAGGTGCAGCCACATTATCTGGGAAGGAGTGTGAACAAAAAAAAGATGAATATTGATATAGAAACCAACTGCGTGTTTTATTAGAGCTTTTATTTTTCTAACCCCTTTTGTGATGGATGTGTGTGAGTGTGTGTGTGTGTGTGTGTGTGTGTGTGTGTGTATGTGTGTGTGTGCATTACTACGAGGTGGAGTCCCTTCACCACATCTGCAATGCAGCAGAAAACACAAAAAAGAGAGGGAGGAAGAGAGAGGCTCACGTGATAAAAAGAGTGACGCCGTCCTCGGACACATTTCTCTCTCTTGCTCCCTCTTCATAAAAAGTGCTTTTATACTGAAATCCAGAGCACATCATGTCACATCCTGTCCCCACATTAACTTTAGGTATCAAAATCAGGCTGTGTTTTTCCCAGCACACATCTGCACTGCACACATACACCCAATGTGGTGACCTTTAAAAACATGGAGGGACTCCACCTCTCCCAAGCTGATGCACCGACAGTGTTTAAGTTGTGATTGTACACAAGGCTTAAATGTCTTTATTTACCCCAAAGTGTTTTGTTAAAAAAAGATGTGTATATCATTGGAAGTACTGTGACCTATAAAGAAATGAGGAATTCTGAGTATTGCTATGAATCATGTTGGTCTGTCCATGTGTGTTTGTTTTAGTGTTTTAAACGTGTCTTTTCTCTGGATGTTGGACAATAGAGCTCAAAGAGAGAACACTTAAGTACGCCAAGTCCTCCACACCCCTCTAGCACTCACCTGTCGATCAAAGACCGACCGACCGATCTTTGATACCTTAACGGGATTTGAATTTGCTCACCGGCAGCATGTGGACTGCTCATTCACCGTCTGTCTTCCCCTCAGACACACACAAACACACCGGCTACGTGTGTGTGTGATTCTTCGATCGATCCTTGAGGGATTTTTTCTTTTCTTTGTACTGCATGGACGATCCAAGTAATTGTGACAAAGTCTTCCAGAAACGATGTTAAGGAAATCACCATAATCTTGCTTTCCTTCTTGTCTTCCAAATGCAAAAAGAGTGCTTCAG